AGGTGACCTTTTTTCTATCTCTGGCTGCCTTTAATACTCTGTCCTTGTCCTTGATCTTCACCATTTTAATTATTATGTGTCTTGGTGTTGTCTTCCTTGGGTCCCTTCTGTTGGGAATTCTGTATGATTCTGTGTTGAGTGACTATTTCCTCCCCCAGTTTGGCGAAGTTTTCAGCAATTATTTGTTCAAATACACTTTCTATCCCTTTTTTATCTCTCTTCTTCTTCTTGTACCCCTTTAGTGCGGATTTTGTTTCTTTTGTATTGGTCACCCAGTTCTCTTAATATTCTTTTATTACCGGAGATCCTTTTATCTCTCTCTGCATCAGCTTCTCTGTGTTCCTGTTCTCTGATTTCTATTCCATTAGCGGCCTCTTGTGCCTCGTCCATTCTGCTTTTAAGTCCTTCCACCGATTTTTTTATTTCTGTATTCTCCCTCCTTAGCTCTTGCATATTTCTCTGCAAGTCCATCAGCATGGTCATGATCTTTATTTTGAATTCTTTTTCAGGAAGATTGGTTAAATCTATCTTCCCAGGGTCCTTCTAAGGGGAGGATGTCTGTGTGTTTGTGTTCTGGATCAAATTCTTCTGCCTTTTTGTAGTGATAGAGATATTTGTGGGCAGTTGGCACATGTGTGAACTGGGAGAACGAAGTCCCTTCCCGCTTGCTTAATGCCTTCCTCCCCTGCGAGAATGGCAACCCCTTTTGGCTTGTGCTGGGCAGCTGCACACAGACGGGGTCTCTGATTCTTGCCCTGGCCGCTGTGGAGGACGCTCTGCGCGGCTGCTGAGGGGGAGACTGGTCTCAGGGTGCTGCTCTACTATGGCCGGGCCAGGCCAGAGGAGGAATGGGTGGGAGGCTGTTTATCACAGTGGGGGGCCCCAGAGCTGTGCTGCCTCCCAGGGGGTTGGGGCATCCGGAGTTCCCCGGGATTCCCAGCTGCTGAGCTGAGTGTGCTGGGATGCTTCCATCCAGCTGTGAGGGTCTTGTCCCTTTAAGACTTTCAAAAAGCACTCACTTTTCTTTTGTCCCAGGGGTTCTGGCTATGGGAACCCGCTCACAGGTTCTACTGTTCCGTTTCCCTAGTATCCAGCACACCACGCACTGTGCGTCTATGCTCCCAGTGAGGATGGCAAGGGCTGGGAATTTAGCAGTCCTGGGCTCCCTCTCCCTCCCTGCTCCAACTCCTTACCTCCCACCAGGGAGCTGGGGTAGGGGTGGCGCTCAGATCCTGCCATACCACAGCTTACCCCCTTCATGAGGTGCTCGGTTCTCGCATATGTAGTTGTAGCCTGGCTGTTGTCCTTTATCTTCTGGTCTCTCTTTTAAGAATAGTTGCATTTGTTGTATTTTCAAAAATATATATGGTTTTGGGAGGAGATTTCCACTGCTTTACTCACACTGCCATCTTGACTCCGCCTCTACTTTGTGTGATTTTTCACTTCTGACTCAATTGAGTTCACTGTCAACTTCTTCCCTATTCCTTCATTTTCCCCTTAAAATGTTCATTCAGTTCTGTACAAATTGAAACTGAGTTTAGTTCATGCTATTTTCCCTATTGCAATAGCATATTACTGATCAAAATCTGTACTTACCTCTTTGGTGTCCAGCTTTCTTTATCTTTGACAATAACTAATTCATAAAACATTCTCATTCACTCATTCATTTATTCAACTAGTCAATAAATCATTTTTAGGTCCTCTCGCCCAGTTGTTGTGCTATGTGTTAGGGATGTAGACAGAGAAGACATGTCATTTGCTGTTGGGGAGCTCTAACTCTTAAGATAGATGTGTAATTACTCTTCAATAGGATAATATCTACAATGGAAGAATTTACAAGTGGTTTGATTTTTTCCCTGTATTCCTTTTCTGTCTTTTCATCCTACTACTTAAAAATAGGTGTTCTCTATAAGCTGACTTTGGTTCCCCTCTCATTCTGTAGTCTCCTGGCAACCTTATGGCTCCAACTTTCAAACTCTTCACAGCTAACTCTTACATACCTGTACAGGTTCAATATTTTCATTTCCTGATTTGCTCATGTTGCTTATTTTCTTTGTATGGAATATCCTTTCTTCCATCTTTGCATGTCCAGATCTCCTCCACATGCTATTTCTCTTGAGAAGCCTATCTTGATTCCTTCCGCAGCTTCTGCTGAATTCCTGTAGTATGCCTCACTAGAGGCATGGGCCCTGATGAAAGATATAGCTGGGTTTGCATTCTGGCTTTGCCTAACTTACAACAAATTGGGGAGTAAAATAATTATATCTTTATTGATTGAAGTCTCTTATCTCTAGCCTGGACTGCTTTCTTGGTGTCCAAGCTACATCATCTACTGTCTAATGGGTGTATCTGCAAGGATATCCCAATCTCAAACTTAATATGTAACCAAAGGAAATGTACCTTTCTTTCCCAACTATTCCTCCTGGGTTTCCTATCTATCAGTTAACTCTAGCATCATCCTTCTAGCCAACATGATTTTAAAACTCACTCTCCTTTTATCTTCTCACCCAATCATGTGCTACAACAGAGAGGATATTATCTACTATATTCATGGTCATTGTGTGCCAAATTCTATCACTTTTCAGCTCTTTAACACCCTGTGAAGTATTAAGGAGATTGTCCCTCTTTCCCCTTCAGTTCCATATTTACTGCCCTAGTTTAGTTACCCTCTATTTCTCACAGATCTTTCCTATCACCTTATAAACTAAGGATAGGAACTGTGCTTTGTTTACTTTTGTGTCCTCTCCCTATGCCTGACTTAAAAGATACTTAATGAATATTTCTTGAATCAGTTATTTGTATTAAATTTCTCTGACATTGGGAGACATTTCCCAAAAGATGAGAAACTTGCAGGAATAGTCAACTTTTAATGGCCTTGGAGCATGGCTTAGAGATAGTCATAAAGTTGGTAGATGGTTCTCTCTTGCAACAGGGTTCTTATCCGTCCCCTCCTCCTGCCTAAGGGTCCCCAAAAAAGCAGCAACAGTGCCAGTCTGAGACATGTTGGCTTTTATTCTCTTGAGATTCTTGGTTTCCCTTCATTACCAACTTTCTTTGATACCTCTCTCCCTCCTCCTTTCCTGGATCTCAGAGAGTCCTAGCTCTCAGCTACCTGCCAGCCAAATCTAAGTGTGAATTCCATTCAAATGCTGAAGAACTTTCAAGTACCATACTGGAAAAACTACTAAAGACCGTGGGATATAGAGGCTATGGTTTTCTATCCATGTTTCAGTTGCTTCTAAAGATATACTTACCTCGCTGATGAGTATAATTGGTCCTGCTCAAGGGTCTAGAGGGCAGGACTTTATTGCCTTCTTTCTCTGAACTTTTAGCTGGGAAACTGGGATGCCTCAGAGCCTGCATTACAACTATCAGACAGTGACTCTTGGACTGCTTAGCTTCTCTTCATCTCCCAGTCACACTGCTCTGTCGTGTCCACAACCTAAAAAATAAAGTACTGGGCATTTAGTATGTACCAAGTAATTTAAATGCATTTCCTCATTTAAACTTCAATACTGTCTTAAAAAGTAGATGCTATTATTATTCTCTGGGAAATTTGAGGTCAGGTAGCTTGTCCAAGGTCACAACTACCAGAGCTAGGACTCAAATCCAGGTGTGGTAGCAAATTCTTAAGACGGGCCCCTGTCTTGCCAATGGGTTTTAGCCCCAGACAAGTTCACTATGGATTCAATGAGACCAAAAAAATGACAATGGAACATTCTTGGGGTGAAAAGGTTTATACCCAACTTTATTCCCACGGAGGCAGGTCAGTCACAACAATCCCATCCACTTAGAGCAAATCTGCATGCAGCAAGCCGGGCCTCTCTGCCCCTCACAGCCATTTCAGTCTCTGTCCTTGGCGCTGCCACCACTCCAGTCTCTGCTCTTCTGCAGCCTTGCAGCCCTGCAGCCTTGCAGCAGCCCAGAGCACTGGGCACAACTCTTTATTTAGAGTCAATAACAACGTATTGCCCACATGGGTGTAGTGAGCAAGCTGACCAGGGGAGAATCCTGGTCATAGGAACCTTCACTTTCTCTGCAAGGGCAAAGACCCTGTTAGAACGACAGCCCATCTCCGGGTCGGGCAGGCAGAATCCTGTGGCGTTAAGAGCTTGCAAAGACTGAAACCTGAGCTGGGCTAATGGAGCCTTAAGAAGCCCCTAGTGTAATGGTGCTCAACCCCAGCCTCACATTAGAATCATCTGGGGAATTAAAAAGAAAAAAAGGATTCCTTAGTGGTACCCCAAACCAATTAAATCAGAACTTGGGGTTTGAGGGGCTGTTGGATCTATACATCATACCGTTTATCTTCCTGTTTTCTGCTCCAATCTTTTTCACTTCCTCGCATGTGCATACATCATCTTACCAGAAATCCTCTGCTTAAAAGGGCTATCTTCCCTCCAACCTTCATTCAGTAAATATTTTACAGACTGTTATATACTAGGCACTATTACAGACATTGCAGGTACAATGGAAAGCATGAAAATAGGTCTAGATAAGAACTGAGGTCTCCTGACATTTTTCTTTATGTTCACTTTTTTTTTTTTTTGCCAGAGTTGCTAATTAAAACTTACTTGCCATATGGTAAGATCTTGTTAAATTATTAGCGGTAAGGACTCCGTCAGCTGTAAGGGATAAACCCTTTAACGAAGTCCACTGGAAATTCTTCAATGAAAAGAATCTGTTCTTGGGTAAAAGCCGGGTCCAAGTGGGAGCAGCAGGACTTCAATTACCTTCTCACAGGTCAGGAGAAGCCTCGCCTCTCTCTCAGTTAAGCCTTATTAGTGGGCGGAGCTGCCTTCATTCTCGAACGGGAAGAAAGCGAAAGGGAACCCCGCCTGCTACGTGCTCGCGGGCGGGGTCGGCGGACTGGGCGTGAGTTGATTGGCTGGGGGGCGGGGTGCCTCGGGTTTGGCTCAGTCTGAGCCCTTGCACCGATCCCTGGTGGAGTGAAGGGAGGAAATCCCAGTGGCTCCTGCCTCCCAGCGATGGCGCCGCGGTGCCGCGCCCAGTTCCCCGCCTGCCGGCCAGTACTCACGCCTATCCCGAGCCCGCTCCGACGGTGAGAATTGGAGCGGGTCCGAATGAGCGGTGGGACGCTGCCTGCGACGGGGACCATGAGGAGCGGCCTGATCCGTGGGGCTGATAGCGGGAGTAGCCGCGGCACCTGCTGAGAGCAAAGAGGGAGCGGCCGGGTGCGGCGGCGCGGCTGGGGTGCGGCGTCGGTTCGCCGGCGCCTCGGCCATGTCGCTGCTCTGCGTGCGCGGTGAGTGAGCTGACTCGGCTGAGGGGTGGGCGTCACCGAGGGGTCCGCGTCACCGAGGGGTCCCCACACTCTTCCAGTGGGGTCGGGTTACCTCCTTTTCCAAACTTTACTTCCTTCCGTGCTTCGGAGGACGATTATGTTAACTCATTTATGAACATTTAAAGAGTCCCTTCCATTCTTTCTGGTTTTTCCTCGCTCTTCTATACAGACTATTAGCTCTCCATTCACGTGGCCATGTGACAGTGTTGTTGGCTGGCAGGCCCAGATCCTATTAAACAGTGCCTGGCGCCCTCCTCTAGTGAGTGGACGAGCTAGGAGACCATGGATAGTTGGTGTCTGTCAATAGCGGGTAGTCTCCCATTCTTCTTTTCTTCCTTCTCCCCGCATCATAAAACTACAGTCGATTTAGTAGGAGGTTCTTTTTATTACTCTTTGAGTGCGTAGTGGTACAGCTGTCACAGCCCTCCTTTCAGTGTATTTCTTGGCTTGCACCCCTCCATTGCTTGTCTTGTTCCCTGCCCCTTTCCTGTAGTCCAGGATGTGATTTTTCTCATATTCGACTTGGAAAGGTGTGTTGGTTTTTTTCCTTTACGAGCAGAGTATAGGAAGCGTGGTGTGTGTATGTATGTATAAAATATGTTTGCTTCTGTCACAGCAACTAAAGGTGAAAGGCCTTTTTCGCTTGAGGACATTTGACCCATCTAAGATATTTTAAAGCAAGAGTTTTGACGTTTAAGAAGAGGCAGGGTGCAGGGACTAAGCTCTGTGAAGGTAGAGACTGTTACTCGTTTTTGTATTCCAGGAGTCTGACATAGTAGAAGCTCAATGCTGGTTTTGAATGAATGCAAGGACTGTGATTTCTAAAGATTACGTGATGAGAAAAAGCAGGGTTCAGATTACCTGCTGAATTTGATTTTGGGAAATTCAAGTTGCAGTTTATCATATTTGTATTGAACAAAGATGGGATAAGGTAGCTTGATTGTGAGAGGTAATTTATCCACAGGAGCCTTTTCCTGGCACCTTGTACTTGAGAGAGTTCATGTTTCTTTTGGCTCTACAGATTAGAAGCATTGTTGTTTGTGATCTCTCTGATAAGTGTTTCTCCCAGCTGCTGGTGAACAAAACTGCTTTGCTCTGTTCTCTTCCACTGCTCTGTTAAATCTGCATTAACCCAAAAAGGATTTGGCTATTTCCAGGGATTATGAGACACACAGAATTTTTCTTCTTGCATGGTTGAATTTTCATTAATGAGAAGTTTGCTTTGTTTTTACTAAGACATTTTCTCTCAGCAGATGGGAATCTATTTATTCCTGTAGATCCCTGCTGTTGAGTAGCAGGATTTGGGAGAGGTTGAGTTTTACAATGTCTCTTGGACAGTTTAAATCTCTGCTGTCATACCATATCACAGAGCTAGTCCTCATGAAAGACTCTTGAGGCAAGAGCACTGTTAAACCAGAAATTCCTATTTAATTGAATTTAAATAATTTCAGAGAAGGAGCTGCTTCTCTTTTCACTTGTTCTAATTTTGGGCAGCTTGCATTGTCTAAATATTCTATTTAGCTAACATCTTTCCCTTTTAATGTTGAATTAGTAAAATTTCTCTTTGGAATGTGGGGGATCATAGACCAAAAGGCCACTGTCTTTTGAATGAGATCCTGAGGGTTACTAATTACTGGTTATTAGTAAATGGCAAAATATTCATCCTGGAGAAGTTAACAGATGGATCAAAAGAAATCTTCCTAAAATGACATTCCTTGCATTATATTTGGGCAGTTAGGAATGTTGTTCATATTATGAAAGAAGCTTGTGAAATGATATTGTGTAACAACTCAATTTCATTTACTCTTGGAGTAGAATTGAATTAGAAATTTTTTCCATGTAGTATAAGTTCAAACAGTTGTTGACGTAGAAACTGGCAAATTGATAGTTTCTTGATTTTTAACTCTTTAATCATGCCTCATTGCCTTCAGGTTAAGGGCTCTCTACAGCCTGACCCTGGCCTTCCCCCTTGGCCTAATACACAGATATACTTTGCTCTCTCTCTTAACTTTGTTCATTCCTACCTTTACACTATTCTGCATTAGTATTCTCTGAAATATTCTTACCATATTTTCTGCTTAATCAAAAATGTGTTCTTCCTTTTGCAGCTTACAGTCTACTTTTTTTTGTTGTTGAAAACTTCCTCAATTCCTCAGTCCACAATGATCTTTCTTTCTCCTTTACAGTTTTTAAACTCTTAACCCTCAAACTCCTTTAACTATGAACTGGTCTGAACAGTGCCATTAATTTGGCAATGAATTATATACTGCCTAGTGACTGGTCTTGTACTATTAGGCTTATGGTGACCCAGATAAAGATGATGATAGCACTAGTCAGATCAGATTGAGAATTTTGTGTTCAGTTGGGATATTTGATTCTAAGAGGCACATTGAGAAGGCAGAATTTCTTCAGAGGAAAGTGAGTAGAATAATGAAGCATGCAAAAACCATTTGAGGAATTGAGAGGTTGAGTTTTGAGAATATTTAAGACAGAGAAGATGATAATAGATGAAAACTGTTTAAAAAACTGTCGCTCCAGAGGACAGAACTGTGATGAGTCCACCCATGATGGAAAATTGCAGGAAATTTGATCTTAACATAAGAGAGAAGTTTAACAATTAGGGCAGTTCTTAACAAATGGAATGGACTACTTATGAGGTGTTTTTTTTTTTTTCCTAACAAGGTATCATTGATATACAATCTTATGAAGGTTTGACATGAGCAACATTGTGGTCACTACACTCACGCATATTATCAAGTCCCTGCCATACCCCATTGCTGTCACTGTCCCTCAGAATAGTAAGATGCTATAGAGTCACTACTTGTCTTCTCTGTGCTGTATTTACTGCCTTCCACGTGACCCACCTACACTCTGTGTGCTAATCATAATGCCCCCTAATCCCCTTCCGGTTCCCTTCCCATCCTCTTCCCTTTGGTAACCACTAGTCCCTTCTTGGAGTCTGTGAGTCTGCTGCTGTTTTGTTCCTTCAGTTTTGCTTTGTTGTTATACTTCACAAATGAGGGAAATCATTTGGTACTTCTCCGCCTGGCTTGTTTCACTGAGCATAATACCCTCTAGCTCCATCCAGGTTGTAGCAAATGGTAGGATTTGTTTTCTTCATCTGGCTGAATAGTTTTCCATTGTGTATATGTACCGCATCTTCTTTATCCATTCATCTACTGACGGACACTTAGGTTGCTTCCATTTCTTGGCTATTGTAAATAGTGCTGCGATAAACATAGGGGTGCATATGTCTTTTCGAATCTGGGATCTTATTTTCTTCAGGTAAATTCCTAGAAGTGGAATTTCTGGGTCATATGGTATTTCTATTTTGAGCTTTTTGAGGAACCTCTATACTGCTTTCCACAATGGTTGAACCAATTACATTCTCACCAGCAGTGTAGGAGGGTTCCCCTTTCTCTACATCCTTGCCAGCATTTCTTACTGCTTGTCATTTGGATGTTGGCCATCCTAACTGGTGTGAGGTGATATCTCATTGTGGTTTTAATTTGCATTTCCCTGATAATTAGCGATGTGGAGCATCTTTTCATGTGCTTATTGGCCATTTGAATTTCTTCTTTGGAGAAGTTTTTGTTCAGATCCTCTGCCCATTTTTTAATTCGGTTATTTGTTTTTTGGGTGTTAAGGCATGTGAGCTCTTTATGTATTTTGGATGTTAACCCCTTTTCAGCTATGTCGTTTACAGATATATTCTCTCATACTATAGGATCCTTTTTGTTCTACTGATGGTGTCCTTTGCTGTACAGAAGCTTTTTAGTTTGATGGAGTCCCAGTGTTCATTTTTGCTTTTGTTTCCCTTGCCCTGGGAGATGCATTCAGGAAAAAGTTGCTCATGTTTATATTCAAGAGATTTTTGCCTATGTTTTCTAAGAGTTTTGTGGTTTTATCACTTACATTCAGGTTTTTGATCCATTTCGAGTTTACTTTTGTGTCTTATTTAAGTTTTTTTTAACATAGGACACTTCAAGCAGATGTTGAATGAGTGGTAAGGGTGTTCCAAAGGGATGTTGATGTTGAGTGGGAGGTTAGATTGAACAATTTTAAGAAACCGTCCTTTTATAAAATTCACTAACTCTTCAAATATTTGGCACTCTTTCCTCATAATACTGATATATTTTTTTGTTTCTATAGGCACCACTACCACAGGAGCAACTTCAGTAAACTAAATCAAGGATTCTTTTACCTTTCGTTGTCTTGTTCATGACTAGTTTCTCCAAACAAATTGTAAATATTTTGAAAATTGAGTCTTAATAATTTTTTTTGGTAATTGCTACAGTGTTATAACTGAGCTATGGTTTATCCCCTAATTTGAACCAGAAGTGACCACACATTAAAAAATAAAAAACAAAAATAGTTTTGGGGATTTAAAAAGCAATATATGCTAGTATATTGTTAATCATAGAAAACTTTCAAACATGTCAAAACTGTAAAAATGAAAATAAGTCATTGTCATCCTACCATCCCCTCAACACCATTGTTAACTTTTTTGTTCATTGTTTTATGTTTTAATTATAAAGGTAACATATATGTGTGATAAGAAAGTCAAATAAGTTTAGGATATGAGATCAAAGGAAAATACTCTCCTGTCCTCATACCCTATTCTTATTCCTCAAAGACAACTACTGCTTACTGTTTCTTGGATATCCTAGAAATTTTTAGTATATATGACTATATGTATTTTAGAATTGGATGTATACAGTATTACTCAACTTTAAAAAAAAATTTTCCTAAGTCTTTATGGCTGTGGAGAATTCCATATGAGCATACATAATTTAACCAGTTTCATATTGATGGATATTCATAATTTTTTTCATTTTGCTATTATAAACAGTGCTACAGTGAACAGCCTTCCAGATGGTTTTGTTATGTTTAGAGATTTTCATTTGGCTTTCTACCAGGACTTTCTGTGATTTGCTCATTGCTGTTTTCTTGGCATAATA